AGAGTGTTAGGATTAAGGGCATGTACCACCACCCCTGGGTATTTTGTAAATTTTAAAATCATTTTTCTTCAAAAACTGTATGATTAGCCAGGCATGGTGGCATATGCTTATAAATCCAGTACTTGGGAGGCAGAGGCAGGAGGATTGAGTTTGAGCCTAGTCTGGAGTATTACATGAGAGAAAGTAAAAAGGAAATACTGGTTAATAATATCAGGTTAATTAGCTAGGTGTAGTAATCAACTGACTTCAGTTAGAACAAGCTGTCTCAGCTGAGTGGTGGTGGTGCGTGCCTTTTAATCCTAGCACTTGGGAGGCAGAGGCAGGCAGATCTCTGTGAGTTTGAGACCAGCCTGCTAGTCTATGCTAGTAGCTAGTAGCTATGCTAGTAGCTCTACAAGAGCTAGTTCCAGGACAGCCTCCAAAGCCACAGAGAAACCCTGTCTCAACCCCCCACCCCCCCAAAAAACCAAAAAAATCTCAGTAAATGAAATTCCTAAATTATCAAATTTTAAGAATCAAAACTTCTAACCTGAGTATAGTAGAACATACCTGGAATCTCAGAACTCAAGAGGCAGAGCAGAAACCACCTGTGAATTTGAGGTCAGCCTGGGCTACAGTGTCAAAAAAAAAAACAAAAAAAAAAAATACTAAACACTAAAATGTATTTAAAAATTTTCCTGCCAGAAGTGGTGGCACATGCCTTTAATCCCTCCCTTGGGAGGCAGAGACAGGTGGATTTCTCTGAGTTCAAGGACAACCTGATCTACCTGGCTAGCCAGGCCTACATAGAGAGGTCTCAAAAAAAATTTTTTTTTGATTTGAATATTCTAAACACATTGATTTAAAAATATTTTACAAATGGCCGAATGTACTGTTTAATTTAGTGTGGGGCCAGTAGAGGCCCTACATGTGTTCTAAACACATGATCAGATGTGTTTTAACTTTCACCTAATTCTAGAAGCACCGGAGCAGACCTCACAGCATTAATAAAATGATAGGTGATATGCACTCTGTACAAATATTGTATGTAGTAATGGTGTCTTGATGCTGGTGCTGGGCACTACCAGAGAAAAAAGAATCTGCCGTGACCTAGATAAGGGATAAATGATAGTGATGGAGAGTGCGTGCCATACTTGGTAAGTAAAATGTATTCTCCTCAGCTGTTGCATATCACATCACCTGTTTGCTTTTTGTTTTGTTTGAGACTGGGTTTCTCTGTGTAACATGTTGCTCTGGCTGTGGCTGTCCTAGAACTCACTCTGTAGACCAGGCTGGCCTTGAACTCACAGAGATCCACCTGCCTCTGCCTCCCTACTGCTGTGATTAAAGGCGTGCGCCACTAGGCCCTCATTTTTTATTTCCCCAAATGATCTTGTGTATTAGTTTGTATGTAAGTGGATGGCCTTATCTAGGACTTCTAAAAACAAAGAGGAAGGGGCCAGAGAGATGGCTTAGTGGTTAAGAGCACTCACTGCTCTTGCAGAGGACCCAGGTTTAGCTCCCAGCACCGACATGGCGGCTCACAACCACCCAGGTTTCCTGAATGGGATCCAGTACCCTCTTCTGACCTTAGCGGGCACTGAATCAATGTGATACACATACATACATGCAGGTAAAACATTCACACATGTGAAATAAAATCTTTTAATCTTCCTAAACAAAAAGAGGAATCAAGATTCTACACAACTTCTAACAGTGTCCATGATTATTATTATTGGTTTTTCGAGACAGGGTTTCTCTGTGTAGCTGGGGAGCCTATCCTGACACTCAATCTGGAGACCAGGCTGGCCTCGAACTCACAGAGATCCTCCTGCCTCTGCCTCCCGAATGCTGGGATTAAAGGCATGTGCCACCAACGCCTGGCCAGTGTTGGTGATTATTATCCATCTTGAAAACAGTAAATTTTTTTTTGGGGGGGCTAAAGCTCTTATAAGTATTTTACATTAATCTTGATACATTTAAATTTTAATATTTTATTCAATATTGAATTTTCCTTTCAGATAGTTTTTAATTAAAAATTATGTGCATTGGTGTTTTGCCGACATGTATGTGTGTGAGTGATGGATCCTCTGGAACTGGAGTTACAGACAGGTGTAAGCTGCCACGTGGGTGCTGGGTATTGAACCTGGGTCCTCAGGAAGAGAAGCCATTGCTCTTAACCACTAAGCCATTTCTCCAGTCCCTGCATTTTTTTTTTATTCATAATTTTATGTACTTTTCCTGAACAGTATTCCTCAAATTGTACAAACTAGGGTGCTCATAAAACTTAGGGTAATTGTTGTCTGTGCATGTGCCAACAATGTAGCTCGGTGGTAGAACTTGAGTTCAAATTCTGATACTGCAGGGGGGTGAGATATTCACATAGAACCATCTGGATCCTTCCTGGACATGGATAAAAACCTTTCAATTTTAACTTTCACCGAGGATATGAGGAAAAAGTGTGAATAGTAATTTTAAGTCAAAAGGGAAAAATGTCAGGCTGTTTCTGTTGATAGCTGACTGCACACATGAGTTTACACTATATGGCCTAGGCATGCAGCAGGCAATACTAAGTAGACTTAAGTGTTCATGCGACAATGAAATCTAACAATGCTGCAGAACTGATGGATTTCTTTTAGAACATAGCCCTGGTGCTAACACAAAACTACATATTTTACTACATTTTATTCCAAGCTTATACTTGGGTAAGATACAAATTTGGGAATGATTGGAACAAAATGCAAATGTGTATTTTTCTTCTCAAAAGTGGCTTGTAAGCCTTTTTCATAGGAATGTGTAATTCATGCTATACTGTCTTGTTTGGTGTTTTGATAAAAGTTTGATAACAGCCTGACATAGTGAGTCAGGCCAGCCAGAGCTCCCAATAGGGCTGGAGAGAATGGGTCAGTGGTTAGGAGCACCAGGTGCTCTTCAGGAAATTCAGGTTCCATCCCCAGCACCCACATGGTGGCTCCCAACCATCTAACTCCATCCAGTCCCAGGGAAATGCAATGTCCTCTTTTGGCTTCTGTTGACACCATGCATGCCTGCACACATATACTACAGACACACATGCAGACAAAACACCCATACATATCAAATATAGTTTAAAAAATAAACCATACCCAATGTTTTCTCTCTCACACTTTAACAAACATGGATGATTCACCTCCTACTAATAAAGACTACAGATTAAAAAACCTTGCATGGCTACCCTCCATGCTCCAATACATAACATTCCCAATGCAAGTGTGCACACCTAAAAATTGAGTAAACTTGTGTAATCCCTCATAAAATTACTCACCGTGAAGCTTAACATGAAGCCTAATATTCTCCCTCATACTTGTGCTCTTTATTTATCATAGTCATTAGGTATTTTTAGGATTTTAGAGACAGGGTTTCTCTGTGTAACAGTCCTGGCTGTCCTGGAACTTCTGCAGACCAGGCCAGCCTTGAACTCAGAGATTCACCTAAGGTGTGGAGATGGCTGGGCAGTTAGAACTCCTACTGTTCTCCCATTAAAGCCACAACACTTGTTAGCCTAGAAGAGGCCCCTGTTCTATTCCTAACATTCGCACCAGGTACCTCACAACCACCTGGAACCCCAGTTCCACAAAGTTGGTGGTGATGGTTTTAATCCCAACACTCAGGAGGCAGAGGCAGGATCTCTGTGAGTTTGAGGCCAGCCAGGGCTACATAGAGACCCTCCCTCAAAACAAACAAAACTCCAGTTCCAGGGAATCAAGACTTCTTTTCTGGCCACCACAGGCACTGTGCTCACTCACACCTCCCACCCCCCTAACACACAGTTATTAAAAACAATAACACTATCATTTTTTTTCTTGCTTAACATGTACCAATCTGTTTCAGGAGAGCATGGAATGGGGATGGAACATCTCACCAATGCTCTTTTAGTGTGTGGGCAGCCGAAGGAGCTTCTGACATTTTTCAAACACTCCCTCCCTCCTGAGGTATTTCAGATGCTATTGTGCAAAATTCCCCTTATCTGCCAGGTGAGCACGTATTTAATTACCTTGTGAAACATATAAGCATGGGGGACTTGATTACAGAGAAATAATGACTATGGATGTGGATTCCCCAAGGTTCTCAAGCAGTATTTATTTCTGGTCCTCTTCTTTGATTAAGGTAAGACTAGCTTAGTTTCTGTGTTCTACTACAGTGAACTGTGTGCTTTATTATGCTTTAACATTTCAATTTTAAAGCACAATGGTACTCCTCAGTCATGTGACAAAACACAGAAACAGTTTTGTGAATTTAAACATACAGGCTAACAGTGCTCTGTAATGTGACTTTATCTTGGTAGCAAATAAAGTCCATTTAGAAGCTCTTCCTTTTGCCAGTTCAGTTAAAAAACAAAGTACTTACACTTCTCAGCTAGAATTTTCTGCAAATGCTTGAATTTGTTTCAGAATTTATTAACCATAAGATGCAAATTTAACTCTGGTTCCTTTTACTCAAGGTCACCTTAGCTGTATGTTGTTATTTACACTCAAAGCATTTGTTGGGCTGTGTGTGTATGTATGGATGTGCACGCACACAGGTACCATGGCATACGTGTGGAGGGCAGGAGGCAATTGCGTAACTCAGTTCTTTTCACCACTTGGTTGCTGCTGATGGAACTCAGGTTGTCAGGCTTGGAATCAAGTGTTTTTAGCTGCTGAGCCCTCAGTAGCAAGAACTCCCAGTTCTTAAAGAAACTGTAATACTGTACCAGAATTACAGTCATAAACATTCTGAGCTAGTCTCAAAAGGGATGTCTCCTAAAGGTTTATTAAAATGCAGCTAAGAATGTGTAATATCTAACGTGACAAGAGAAACAAGGAAAAAATACTTGAAATGCCTTGAAATGATCAGTAAGTAACTGTTTTGTGTATTTACCAGCAACTTGAGGCAGACATGTATGAACAGAAGTCCTTGAAGGATGATCCTGACTGAAACATCTCAGCGTATCCCAACCTAGACAGAATATCATGTTCTGTACAGTAAAAAAAACTGCTCAGTCATATTTTCATTTATTTTGCTTTTAGTAATAAAGTTTTTCTATCTCTTACATGATTGGAACACATGTTTTGCCTTTAAAATTAACAGTCACAAAGAAAAGAACAGTGGTTTATTTTTGTAATGAAGGTGACCACCCAGGTGAAACTTAAGTCCTCAACAATGTTGCATCTTACCATTTTCACTCAACAGCAAGGCCTTCTGTTTGGATTCTTTCTGGTGAAGAGTGATTTTTGTTTCTCCAGTGGTTTCCATTGGTCAGGCAGTTACAACAGATGGTTTACCACCACCACTTCGGCTGTGCTTCAGGGGTTCTCCCAGGTGAACCCTCACTTCCAGTGCAACAGCTGCTGGCAATCTCTCAGTGCAAGCACTTCGGCTGTGCTTCAGGGGTTCTCCCAAGTGAACCCTCACTTCCAGTGCAACAGCTGCTGGCAATCTCTCAGTGCAAGTCTGTGCCTTGGGACTTCTCTACCGGGGCTGGCCCAGGAGTCCTGCTTTGGCTGCCAGGGCTTCATTCTGCTGAATATGATATTCCTGAAATCTCATGGATATTCTCTGTGTCATTTTTAAATATTTCTGTAAGCAATGTTCTGAACAGGTAACCTAGAAATACAAGGGGAAAGTCCAAAAGGCAACACAGAAATAAACATTCTTGTACTCTGAAGAGTCACCACTGGAACTTAGCTTTTCTTAAGGTAGGTCTGCAAAACAGATGCTATCCTTGACTCGCAATAATCATAGCTTTAAACTCTTTATGCTTTCATTCACTGGCTACAATCACAGTTGATGAAATCCTTACTAGTATATAGGCATCAGAAGCAATGGTGTGCTCTGCCTCATGAAAGGTCTGGGCCAAATTTCCTATTAACTCAAGGCCCACAACCCTACCTTCTGAATTAGACTGATAAATGTATAGCCAGTAGAAGGTTTCTTCCTTTTTAATGAAAAACTTTTTTTTTTTTTTGCATATTCTTAATTCACACCCTTTATTTTCTCTTGAGCAAGGTCTTGTTATGCAGCCAGGACCGGCCTGGAATTCCAGAATCTTCTGCCTTAGCCTCCCAAATGCTAGAGTTCCAAGTATGCTTGCTTCACCCACCTTCAAACCTTTTCTTTTTAATATCAACCAAGATGACCCAAGCTCAGAAAGAATGTTCCAGGTTCTCCCTTACATGTAGATCCTAGACTATAACATTATACATGCATATGTAAATGGGCATAAATGCAGGTAAAATACAAAACCTCACAAAGGAGACCAGGAGAAGGTAACCTTTGGTGATAAGGAAGGATTGTGGGCAAAAAGACACATCTCAGTCACGAAAGAGGACAACAAAGATATTTTTTTCTAGTTTTAACCTGTCATAATTTCTACTTTTTTGTGGTGGATCTGAGTTCAAGTTTCTGGATATTCAAACAACGAAGAGTCACTTTTGCATTGGGAAAGAATCTGGCATGTGTTACTCCTCCGAGGAAGGGACTGAAAGCTGGGTTTGATTCTCAGTTCCATTGACCATCTGTGCATTGGGAACTTAATATGACTGGTCACTGAGTATATCTGTCCCATTGTGAAAAAGGGACTCTAAAAAATTCTGTTATAGGAAGGGATTTACAACCTCAACTTTTCTCTGCTTAAAATTATATCAAAACATTACACTTAGTGTTATTTAATATGTAAATTGTATTGCTATAGATAAAGTATGGCTTTTAAAAACAAGAGTATCACATGATTAAGGTCCATTATCTACAAGTATGAAACTGGCAAGGAATAGCTAAAACATATTCCTTTAAAAAATGAAGATCATACTTGGTATCTCTCCTAAACTTTGTAAGTTAAATGACCTAACAAATTAGACTTTGGCATGACTATTTATTGACTTCTCAAGAAGAAGAAGTTTCTCATTCTCAGCAGATATATAAACATCTTTATAAAGACACTCAAAAGTTGAGATGTCAATTAGGATTGGTGTCCCCTCCTCACCCCGACAAGAGTTTCTCTGTGTAGCCCTGACTGTTCTGGAACTCCATCTGTAGACCAGGCTAGCCTTGAATGAGAGATCTGTCTGCCACTGCCTCCCAAATGCTTGGATTAAAGGTGTGTGCTACGACCTGGCTCTAGGATTGGGTCTTAAGTCTATTGTGCGTTACATGCCACCACATTCATGCTTCACAATCTCAATTCTGAGAGTCAGATCAGAGCCCTGCCAAGCTTCTTTGGCACTGTCATCTTGACTAGCATGCAAATACTGGACATTTGCTGTGGGACTGCACCTCAGCCATTCCATACCTGATCTATAAAGCGTCTGCCTTGATGCAGTGTGACTGTCAAGTTCACCCTGGCATCATTAATCTTGGTGTCACCGGTTCATGACTGATTTGGTTCCTCTAAGCAATGGCATGCAAATGGCAGCCCAGCCAATAGCAACAAATGAAATGCTTATATGGAATCTGTGGTTTATGACAACCTTGGGGAAGTTTCAGTGAGCGACTTTTCATACCTCTTCAGGTTTCACCTCTCTTGTTGTGAAGTCTTTAACACAGTCCAAAAAGCAGCTTTCTGTAAGTCTATTGTAAGTTCCCAGGAACTCCTTAAACTACAAAGAAGAAGTGTTTTAATACTCAGGCTTTACAGCCAAGATGCTTTGAAACTTAATGACATCCAGAAAAACTATCATGTCTCACCCTTTACTTTCCCTCCTTCCTTCATTTGGATTCTTGGCTAATTCTTAAATAGCTTTAATGTACAACATATGAATTTACTTTCTAGTTGTACTTTTCTGCTCACCTGTTGGACCAATACATAGTTTTACAGCCAGCTATAGTGGAGTAATGGCTGATACCCTGGTTACTTAAGGGGCTGAGGTTGAGGACCATTTAAGTCTAAAGGCTCAGAGCCCAACTCAGCAACATAAGATGCTTTTTTGGCCTCAAAAGCAGAACAGGAAATGCTTTATGTCATCTTAACATACATTTTAATGTTTTAAAATGTGGTTTGGGGGCATATAGGCTACATTCATATATTGTTTTGAATTCACAATAATTCCACTTACAATCATGTAGCTTAGGCTGGTCCACCCCTACTGCTCTTTGAGATAGTGTCTCTACCTTGCCCTGCTGTCCTAGAACTCACTATGTAGACCAGGCTGGCCTTGAACTTAGAGAGATCAGCTCGACTCTGCCTTCTGAGTGCTAGGGTTAAAGGTATACACCACCACACCTAGCCAAGATCCTTTCCCTTAATTATAGTATCTTACCTGTTTTATCTGGTCAGATTCTGGTATCTGTGCAGCCATATTCTTTCAGTATATTTATTAATCACCTAATTTCATAGTAAAAAAAAAAAAATTGTCAATTTATAAATGTATTTTTAAGCTACCCAAAGAATTAGTTATATTTTATAAATTTCTTGCTGTATATAATCATAAACCATAATCTCAGATTTTAATGAAATATTAAAAAAATTTATTTCACATGCATTAGTGTTTTTGCCTGCATGTATTTCTGTATGAGGGTGTCAGATGCTCTGGAACGGGAGTTACAGACAGTTGTGAGCTGCCATGTAGGGGCTGGGGATTGAACCTGGGTCCTCTGGAAGAACAGCCAGTGCTCTTAACTGCTGAGCCATCTCCCTGGCCCCAACATGTTGTTTTTTAATGCTAGCTATGGAACTCACAGGCCCTGTCTAGCCACATCTCCAATATGTAAGGTCTAGCCACATCTCCAATATGTAAGACAGTGTCTTACTGTCTTGCAAAGTTACTTACTAAAGTTCCTTTCACAGTAGGGATTTAGGGGTATTCTTCCTAAATTTTCGTAACTATCTTACTGGTTTTCAATTTAACTCTAATCTGTGCTACTAATCTATATATTACAAAGGTTCTATAAATTGTTGACAACTGATTTTAGCAAATCTTATTTAGGATTAAATCAACACTGGCTCATGAAAGATACTCATAGTTCTCAAACAAAGTTTCAGGATCTATCTCCATCCATCCATCCTGGTTTTTCGAGATAGGGTTTCTCTGTATAGTTTTGGAGCTTATCCTGGCACTGGCTCTGGAGACCAGGCTGGCCTCGAACTCACAGAGATCCACCTGCCTCTGCCTCCAGAGTGCTGAGATTAAAGTCGTGCGCCACCAATGCCTGGCATGTTATATATATTCTTACATGGAGTTGAAACTAAATAGGGTAGTTATAGAGCTGTGAGTTATCATGTGGGTGCTGGGAACTGAACTTGGGTTCTCTCAAAGAGCAGCAAGTACTCTTAACCCCTGAAGTGGCTGCTTAGCTCAGCAGACGCATTTTGGCTGAATCACTTAACACACGATAATTCCACTCATGACCATGAATATACCCCCCCCCTTTCCTAAGATGTTAGTTGTAACTACTAACATTTTTGCAAAGTCATACATAAGGGAACGCATTAGATCTTCCGCACTTGCTATTCTGTTCTCATTCTACATGTTACAGCCCAGTTTTCTCTGAAGTAATGATTAATGAAAAACATAACTGTGTTTACTGCAGAGGTTGCCTTTAATAGTGCCAGCTAGAACAGGACTGCAACTTGACGGGTGTTAAGTGCCACTGACAGTCAAAGCAGCGGACCTCTACAAACACCACCCACCATTCTGCAGATGTGCTTTTTCTTTACCCACTCTCTACACACAGCTGGGAAGTTGGGCATCACATATAAAGGAAATCTAAGAAAACAAGCAAGACTGGCTAGAGGCCTTGGGATCTAAGAAACACAGGGACGATTTCTTTGTGTGCTTTTTGTTTTATAGACTCCAAACTGGAGAGGCTGGCAACCTCCAAATGGGATTAGCAAAAACCAAGACTCTCCCCAAAGCCTAGTCTAACCAAAACACCAGCAAATGATCAGCAAAATTCAGGACAGACACAGACACAGACACACACTACAAGCAAACATCATAATTAAAAATGAAAACAAAACAAAAATTCCAATGGCCAAACAGGAAGCCTAGACTTAATCCTCCAGAGGCTTCAATGAGCTACTCTGACACTGGTACTAGAGTGGTGTCAAGAGAAGGCTGAGAAGAGAACAGGATTTTATTCCCATCGGCAGGGACAAGATCTAATATGTCAGTGGAAAACCTTAGGAGAGACTGCCAGGACCAAGGTACCTCTGTCCTTCCTCTGGGGTACTATCACAAAGCCTGGTGGAGATTCAGGGTTGGCATT